ATGGAATGAGGACGAAGGGAAATGATAAGAACAAGAATAAAAACAAAGTGAACGAAAGTATTTGTGTGTGTGTGTGTGTGTGTGTGTGTGTGTGTGTCATAGACTAAAACTAGTAAACGAAAGAAAACAGAGAAATCATCTTTCTAAGATCCTTATGAAAGATTAAGAAAAAAAAACATAACCTAGAATTCCCTCCCCAGAAACTCACGTGACCTTGTCTGACCTGTATTCCCGGGTCTTAGATCGATTTCCTACATTTTGCCAAACTTCCATTGCGATAAGTGACCTGGCGCGGAGGAATAAAGCAAGCCATTTTCGGATTTCCACGTCAGTTGAAATATAAAATAGTATTGGCGTTTGCGTGCGCCCGGTTTCGCAGGGATATCGGTCTTGTTAATGGAGTAAAATAGACCCAAGGTTAAGTCTTTTGTGTGTGGCCTTTCTGTGTCCAGGAAATGCTACCGACTCACAAATTATACGTGTCTAGATTCTTGCGTTACAAACCACCATACTTGTCAACGGTTTCAATATCTAGACAGTGGTAGGAAGATGTAATAAATATATTTTATAAGTAATTTAAGAGATCGCCACGGATATCACCCATCCAATTGTGTGTCCAAACGAAATAACTTGAGACATGCAGATTAAATTAACTCGAAACCAGGCAATTTGCATACAACATTAAACCCAAATCTATGTAAAAGATAAACCACTTAAAAGAATCTCCCCAGTCGATATAAAAGATGGACTGCTTAAAAGAAAGAAAAATCAGAAAATATGAACGGATGAAAAATTAACACATGACGATCTACATTTCCTTTCGCGTTGCAGGAAACTGATGCGTCTAAACCTCGGGAAGAACAACCTGGACGACATTCCTACAGACGCCTTCCACCCTCTGGTTAATCTCGAGGTGCTGGACCTCCACGAAAACCGTATAAGGCACATCCCTGATAATGCTTTCCAAGGTGAGAAACATTTCTTATTGTTTTTTTGTTGTTGTTGTTGTTTTGTTTTTGTTTTTACTTGTTACGTGGTAAAAATGGATATATTTTACTCGGCCATTTTCCATTTTATTTAATTATAACATCCCATGCAAGCAACGTCTTTGGCTTGTTTGTTTATTTTTGTTTTTTGGCGGTATTGACAATACAAATCCATTTGCCTCTTTTTTTCCTTATTGCTTTATTTTCCTCTGATTGTTCACTCACAAAATTATCGTTTTCCCCATGACCTCGCCCAGGCCTCACCAAGCTGGACATGCTCAAGCTGGAACACAACCTCATTACGACCATCCAGGACAACGTGTTCAGTGACCTCTCCGTGCTGAACTCACTGAACATTGAACACAACCATATTGTCAACGTTAGCGATAGAGCCTTCGCTGGCCTGGAGAGTGAGTATAGAGTGTTCAACGCGTTTGGTTCTGCCTCTCTTTGCTGCTCCTTACTGGATTGTCTTTCAATGTCTCTGAATACACACGCACATATATACATATGCATATATGTACATATGTGTATATCATATGCGCGCACACACACACACACACACACACACACACACACACACACACACACACACACACACACACACACACACACACACACACACAACACACACACACACATATTATATTGTGTTGTGTGTGTGTGTGTGTGTGTGTGTGTGTGTGTGTGTGTCATTTGTGTGCATATTTGTAACACACACACACACACACACACACACACACACACACACACACACACCACACACACACACACACACACACACACATATGTGTGTGTGTTTATATATATACATATGTATATATGTCTATATATGTGTGTGTGTAATATATATATATATATATATTATATATATATATATATATATAATATATATAATTATGAAAGATGGAATAATGCACTATCGCGTTGTTATAGTGAATAAATAACTTACCCTCTCCGGCCAGGTTTCGATTCCGGGTTTATGCAGACAGGTAACTGCAAGACGGACGCTCCACCAACTGATTTACACGACCTACTAAAATAAGTGTGCAATTAGGAGCTATCCAGCTTCCATAGGCATTACTTATATGTTTATACTTGAGTAAGGTTCTGAAGTTTTACACGCACTGCCGTGGACACTCCATGGAGATGGGGAGCGCAGTTCAAATCCGGTCAGAAGTACTGAGGTGTATTTAAGAAAGATGGAATAATACATCATCGCCTTGGGCCGTGTTGCTCAGCGTCCGTCTTGCAGTTACCTGCCTGCAAAGACCCAGCGCCGGTATTCGCGAGAGGTCTAAGACTGCTCTTTGCAATTTCGTCTGATTTGCGCTGTGCCACATCGCAAAGTTAATAGTAGTAGAAAATAATATGTAAATCGGTACAGATACTATTTTGATAATATATTGTAATAATAAGATATGGTATATATGGCAATAAACCTTACTGAGACAGCGGTAATATTACACATTTGATATATTTAAATGTGATATGACATGCCTGCGTTTATTGTCATTGCATCAGCCGACTCTAAAATTCTCAAAATCCGCTCCAAAATTCCCAAACCCCGAGTCTGAGATTCCAAAAAAAAAAAAAAAAAAAAAAGCTAAGCCCTCGCTCCTGCAGGTAACTTGGAATGGCTTGAGATGGGCAACAACCGGCTGGACCACATCCCTTCCCACGCCCTCCGCCCGCTGCACAACCTCCGTCAGCTGGACCTCGACGCCAACAAGATCACCGAGCTCAGCGAAGACGCCTTCAAGGGATACGGCGACACCATCAAGTATATTCTCCTGGACAAAAACCGGTTGGTGTTGATCTCGCTTCTTGGCGTGTCGGGGTTGCGATTCGGGACTGGCTCTGTTTGTTGTATTGTTTGGTTTTATATCCATGGATAGATAGATAAATGTGTATGTGTGTTTGTATTTGTGTGTGCGTGAGTGTTTATTATTATCATTATTCGAATACGTATGGGTAGGTTAAAATTAGATACGTAGGTGGATACATGGATGGAGATATAAATATATTCTTATATGTATACTTACGTACCTAGATATAAGCATATATACACATACAGGGACATGGTTAGATAGATATAGCACTAGACTGATAGACAGAAACAGACAAACAAATATAAACGGATATATAGACATACATTGTTGTATACACAGATATAGTGAAACTGTGTTCTTTTAAATATAACGGGTTCCCTCACATGGTGCTTTCTAGCTGTATGGATTAAATGCATATTTCCAGGAAACATTTCATATTTCAGTTTCCCCACAATCGGTAGTTCCTAAAAGACCAGGATCTCGTACATTGTTCACTAGAATGAACAAACGGCAGAATTCTTAAACTGAATGCCTTTGTGCAAGTTTCTAAATACAGATACATTTGCAAAGCGCTACCCTTGCTTCCTTTGAACATCCGTCTGTTTCGCATCTTACCTGTCTATTTGTTTGTCTATCACTGTTTATCTGTCGATTTGCCTGCCTATCTTACTGCATGTCTCTACATATCTATGTCCACATCTCTTTCTCTCCCTCTCCCTCTACCCCCCTTCCTCTCTCTCTTTCTAATCTCTATCCCTTCCACCCTCTCTCCCCCCTTCCCTTCCACTCCTTCCCCTTCCCCTCTCCTTCCCTCCCCCTCCATTTCCCTCTTCTCTCCCTCCTTCTCTCCCTCCCTTTGCCCCCGTCCATCCCCCCATCTCTTCCTCTTTCCCTCCCTCTCTCTTACCTCTCTTTCTCCATCCTTTGCAGAATCACACACATACCTCCACTCGCCTTCGTTGACCTCCACTCCCTGGAATGGCTGAAACTCTCCCATAATGAGATAACAACGTTGACTGAAGACACCGTTCAGCCAATCCTTGATACTGTAACCATGATTGATGTATCAAGTAAGTCCTTGTTATTTATTGTATTGCTCTCTCTCTCTCTCTCTTTCTTTTCTCTTTTTCTAGTGTTTTCACATCCTAATTAATATCTTTCATTTCATTTTGTTTTATATTGGTCAGGTTAAATTCCCTGGTATGGTCTGATTTTGATTTTCTATCAGGTTTCCATACTGTTAGTGTTCGTTTTTTATTCATTTTCATTCTAGTAAAAATGATTCCTTCGATAATTTTCACTCTTTTTTCTTGCATATTTGAAGTCTTCATTAGATTAGTCAATTTCTAGAGTCCTATATTTTAGTCTGTTCTCAGGTTCATTTTGTCATTGTTCTTATTATTAAATTCATCGAAAATATCTCAAACTGTCAAGTCGTTTTAATTTAAATATCCTTTTTATACTTAAAGAGCATGAGAATAATTTTAAAGATGAAAGAAACATACTTACGATTGTAATGATAGTGATAGTTATGATTATGATGATGATGATGATGTTTCTATAGTTAGTTATGACTAATCATCATTATCATTATCATCATCATAAGGAATATCATGCTTCCTGTTATCGTTGTCAATAATATCATAATCAAATGTAAACTATTATTGACTTTGCAATATTTAATACATGATAATTTAAACACACATATATGTCAGCAGGTGTTCCAATAATGTGATGTATTTTCTGCTAAATAATGATTTTTTCTTAATATTCCATGTTCTTCGATATAACAGGATTTTTTTTCTCGATATCCAATATTACTCCTTCAGAACAGCATCTTCTCTAACGGTTAAGATAATATCCAAATTCATTCATGGTCTCTCTCTCTCTCTCTCTCTCTCTCTCTCTCTCTCTCTCTCTCTCTCTCTCTCTCTCTCTCTCTCTCTCTCTCTCTCTCTCTCTCTCTCTCTCTCTCTCGCTCTCTCTCTCTCTGTCTTCTCCTTTCCCTCCCCCAACAACGCCCCCTCCTGCAGAGAATCCACTGATCTGCAACTGCGACCTGCTCTGGCTCCGGCGCTGGGTCAGCAACCCCAACAACAAGGACCCGGCAGAGGAGATGGAGTGCGTGACCACCGACCAGAAGGCCCACAACATTAAGAACCTTCCCGTCCAGGAATTCAAC